TAACTTTGATTATTCTTTTATATTATTGATATTACTAATATATGAGATTTTATGTGAACAATAGTCTTTAATGTTTTTGTGTTGCATGGGTCATAATTATTGTTAGTCAATATAAAGTTAAAAATTTTTTAGATAAAAAGAAAAATTAAATAATTAATTAAGTCACAAAATAATTCTCAAATTTAAAAATTTAGGGTTTATTTGACAATATTATGCACATTTTATTTTCACATACGCCTTATTTAAAATTTAAAATCTTAATTCTTAAACTTTAATTAATCTTAATTAAGTTTTTATATTCCTTTATTAATTTTAATTAATACTTTATATATTTTTACGGTAATAAAAGTTTAAAAAAAACCTACACTATAACCATAATATAGCACAACACAAACGAATAAAACCTTTATTGTCCCTAGTAAATTTTAATAAACATTAACAATTTTAAATTAATCAAATACAAATTAAAGGTTTTTTTTATCTTATATTACATAATGAGAGGTAATTGTTTTATATATCTTAACTCTCCTCGTTCACATGTCATACCATTGAATTTAGGACCGTTTACTTCTATTGAGGGGAAATTACCATTGAATAACTTAATTAAAATTTTATTAAGAACCTGTTTGATAGAGCAATTTAGTGGTAGTGATTAGTGGTTTTGTCCAAATGAATATTAGTGTTTGGTTGATTTGTTTATTTTGAAATTATTACAAACTAAGTATGATAAAATTTTTTATTTAGTGGTTGGGATTTGCATATAATTGTTAAAATTCAAATTGGTAGCAGATTGACAAAGTTAATTTAGGTAGCTTTTTACCAAATTGCTAATGAATTGAAATTTTTTAATTTTATTAACAAATTTCTCCTTTTTAATTTTATAAATTTTGTAATGATTTTTAATTAGTATTTAGTTAATTAGTTTTAACTTCATTTTTTAAAATAACATTAAGATCATTATATTTTTATTTTACATTAACTTACCATTAAAAATTATATTAGTTTAATAAATAAAATTTACTAATTAGATGAAATGATTAAAATTTTATTTTTTTAATTTGAAAATAATATAATTTTTTTCTTTGTTAAAAGTAAAAATGAGTGTGATTTATCTTTTTATATTTTATTTATTATTATTATTTTAAAAAAATTAATAATTTTATTTACTATTATTATTTTATTTTATTTATTTTTTACTATTATTTTTATAAAATTAATAATTTTAATGATAAAAGAATTCTAAAAATACACTTAATTATTTTTAAACATACATCTATTAGTCATTTAATATTAAATAATAACTAATTATTATATAAGCAAACAGTTATATCAATTATAATTTATTATTTACTGTATATTACCCAATTTTTACTATGTCACTTATTACACATGATTTTTATTTATTATTCACTATCCGCTATATATATAAGATTTTAATAATTATACTAAACAAATCTTAAATCAAGCAAAAAAAATATAATGTGGAAATCAATGAGTGAGAAGAGATAAGAGGTTTCAATTCATGATGCCTACGTCTTCTCTAAGGATTTTTTATTTTATTTTATTTTATTTTGGTTAAGAGTTGTATTCGCTGCTTTCAAACTCCCTTTGGCTTTGGGATGACCAAGACAACCTTCTCCTTAAAAATCCTCAACCAACTTGAAGAACTATACCCCAAGTTTAAGAAGTCCATCACAGACTAAATCTCAACTCCAAAATGCTTAGGGAACCATTTCACATTTTTAGATAAAAAGATAAAATTAATTTCTCATTATTTATAATTCTTTTGAAGTTGTGTATTAAATAATGA